GAGTAGGCCTTCCTCCCCGTGCCCCCCCCCCCCCACCAGCCCCGGCTTCCCTCTGGCACCCAGGACCCAGGCTTCCCTCGCAGCCCTAGCTTCCTCCAGAAGGACGTCTGGTCTAATTAGCATATTATACTTTTATTATTATAGATGATTAGTACAAAACTTAGAAATTTCCTTCTTTGCTGACTGACGGAGGGGGAGTGACTGGTTGTTGTTTTTTTCCCCTTCTCACTTTTCAGAATGGAATGATTGTTCACATTCTTTCTGGGAAATGCATGGAAGCTGTGGTGCAGGAAAACAATAAGGATTTGTACTTGCGTCAGTGTGATGGAAAAGCCAGCCAGCTGTGGCGATTTGACAATGTCCGCGCTGTGGATGAACGATGAGTGCCAGTGTCTGAAGGAAAAGAGAAGAGTGGTCCTCACAGTTCAGTGACAAGAGAGCTAAGAAAGCATGTGTATCCCATGAAGCACATCCTCTGTGTTTGTACTCCTGTGACAGCAGAGAAGAAGGCTCCATGAATGAGTGTAGAAAGTCTTTCCCTTCTCGCACCTATGCCATTGACTGCTGGCTATTTTTGAAAAAGAAAACTACACACACACACACACACACACACACATACATACACACATTGTCTTCATCACTGGTAGATGATCATTACATAGTACAGAAGATTCTTCATTTTCTTCATTGGGCATGTATGTAATAATTGCTTTTATCTCTAAGAAGAGAGGCCTGGACATTCTCTGCTAGCACTTCCAGGATGCATAAATCCAATTGATCCATTTATTTCAAATGGCCTTACCTTGGATTGTCTGTGTAACCAACTATGGAAATTAAAGTGTAAAGAGAGCATATGGCCTGGCATACCAAAAACTCTGGATTAAGCCTATTAGGACAGGGAAATTTCATGTTTCCTGGTAGAGCCCTAGCTCAGAAGAAGGAAGGGAAGCTACGGAGAGAAGAGCAGGATTGGGGAGAAAATAGAAGAGAGCTTTGAACCAGACCTCCAGCTCAGCCTAGCAGCTGAAAAGCAGCAAACCTGGGATAGGACGTTTTCATGTTAATGAGAATTTTCTCAGAACTTTCTACCTCCATTCACCCTGCCCTAGCCCTTCCCCAATTTGGTGAACCACAACCAGATTCCCATGCAATATACTTCTCTTTAGTCACTGGTCTTTAGAAGCGTCAGCTCAGACTGAGGATTCCCACAAACAAAAGTGCATACACTTTTGCGATGCTTTCCCGATGCTCTGTTACAGGGTTTGTATTGACTGGATCAGAAATAGCAACCTTTGCAAAGAGGCAAACCTCTCTGAGGGGAAAAACCAGTGTCTGAGCCAAAATTCTTATGAGAGGAGCCAGAGTTGGGTGTTAATGTTTATGGGGAGTGGCGGTGATAGAGCCATTTCTGGGCCTGTAGGAACTGTCTGGTACCCCTAAGCATGCCCATAGGTTGAACACTGACAACTGTGGGAGGAACACACCTCCACTAGAGCAGAGCCACTGTCTCTCCTTGCTGGGACCCGGCCTAGTGTGACCATACGAGTTGATGAATGGGGTTGGTTCTGCTATTCAGAAGACACCATTCATGCCCATTTCTCCTCCAGATAGAGCTCCCTCTTCACATGCTCAGCTTAGAAACCTCCCCTCAAAGATGCCGGTCTCCTTTGGGCTGCTTCAGAATGCAGTGTGTTTCAAATAAGGAAAACTAGACAGGAAGTGAGGGTTTCTAAACAATGCCTGTCCTAAGTAATTATGTATTCCTTCTCCTACTTAAGTCAATGATTCACTCACTGCGTTTCTCCTTCCTCAGAAGGCACTTTAGACCTGTGCTAGTAGCTACTAGCCACCTGTGGCTATCTATTTGTAAATACATTAAAATGAAAGAAAATGTCAACTCAGCTCTTCAGTTGTACTCAATAATCACATTTCAAGTGCTCAACAGTCACATGTGGCTAGGGGCAACTGTTTCAGAGGGCACAGATATAGACCACTTTATCATTGCAAACAGTTCTATTGGATAGCACTGATCTACGTAAGTCCATCCTCCCATCAAGGGAAGAATCTCAGCCATTGTCGTCTTCTTTCAGGCTTGTCTATATTTAAAATGAATTCCTCTAATATCTTGAGGTGGAGACCAAGCTAATAAAGGGTATTATTAGCTTGTAAAGGGTATTGATGATTGAAAAAAATTAAACAAGACCTTTATTTTTTTAAAGGAACTTTATTATTGGTACTGTGGGTATTTGAAGTTGCTGGAATGAATTAATATAATTAAATAAAAGGCTGAATTCAATTGAATAAGTTGTGTTTGACAGTAATTAACAGAAAGACCCAGATGGCTTATTGCTTAATTGGTTGAGCAAAGGAAGAATGTGGTGTTCTTGCTTCCTTAACCATCCCCATGATTTATTACTTTATTACAGGAATGGCTGTCAGCTTGGTCCCTGACTGGTACTTACAGACCCTTAATTTAAACAAAACAGATGCCTCCATTCAGCTCTAAAAGAAATTCAAGCTTTCCCCATAGTGTAACCAAGTGTTCAAATTCTCTTCTTTATGGGCTCAGTTCTGATTTTGTCCAAAAAATCAATTTAAAAGTAGAGAAACCTGGCAGTTAGAAGATTTGATTCTCCAGTTCAATCTTCATGTGTCCCCCTGAATTTTATGATTGAAGTATGTTATTTTTTTTTTTAAGATTGAATTCATCACCATCACCACCAAGTTTGCCATTATTAAGTATCCTATTAGGAAGACAGAAGTATTCAGGCCAGCAGTCTAGAGTCCAATACTGTTTATGCTATTTCACAACAGTGAAAGCAGATGTCATACCTGGAGGGGCCCTGAGCTATTTCCTCTTTAGTCTCAATGCCGTTGATCCCACCAGCCAACTCAGAATTCCAACTCCTATAGACATCAAAGTCCCCCAGGTCCATGATGATGGACATCTCTGCACCAGAATTGGACATTATCAGAGGTCATTTTGATGGGATTCCATTTTCTAATGAAAAAAAGCCAGTTGGCCACCAAGTGACCCATGAGCAGTCACCAAATCTGGACAAAGGTAACCCACTGACACAGGGCTGCCTTGATGGGCTCCACACTACACATTGTGTATACTCTCCATGATTGTTCTTTAAAAGCTCTTTTTGAAATGCAACTTGTGACCACTTTTGACAAAACCCCAAAGCACCTACCAGCCCTACCCTGATTATTAAAATGCCTTGATTCAGACATATTCCAATGATGATGCTAAGCACAATAGCCAAAGAGGTGATATTTCCAGGATTCTAGAACCCTCTGCTATTTCTGTGTAAACAATAGGTCTTTCAATCTCCTTGCCAGTTTCAACCCCTTCCATGAAATGTGTTTTTTGGGATATAGAAGTGTGTCCCTAGCTCTGTTTTAACACTGTGAGGATCTTTGCTGGTGTGGTAGTTCTTTCCATTTGTCTGGGATGCTTATATTTCCTCCTCACCAAGAGATCTATGCAATACCAATACACTATGCTATCGCAGCATATAAGCAGCTTGCCTGACTCCATTTGGCTTAAAAATAGTCATCACAATCACTTCTCCCCTAGCGTGACAGTTTGCAAGCTCAGACCTAACAGATCAGACTCACCTTTGAAAATTAAAGTTTGAGCCTGGCTGGCATGGCTCAGTGGTTGAGCATTGACCTATAAACCAGAAGGTCACAGTTCGATTCCCTGTCAGGGCACATACCCAGGTTGCGGGCTCGATCCCCAGTGTGGGCGTGCAGGAGGCAGCTGATCAATGATTCTCTATCATTGATGTTTCTCTCTCTCTCCCCCACTCCCTTCCTCTCTGAAATCAATAAAGATATATATTTTTAAAAAAGCTTTTTCTCCAGCTTCCATGTTCTTATTGTGTCTTTCATTGCACTCTCACTCTTCCTCTAGCTGGCCCTCTATGACCTTCCATTACCAAGTCCAGTTGGCCAATATTGATGGAATTAACAGCATCAGTTTCTCCAGAGGCTATTTGGAGCACTGAGTAAGTTAATCAATTGTTTGAATTCTCAGCTCTTCTCAGCCTCAGCTCCTCCCCTGGTAGAATCCATAGTACGGAATGCCATTTACTGTGGATGTGGGATGAGAGGGCTACTAGAGGTGCTGCTGGTAGTGGTGAGAATATGGCTCTGGTTTTGAGGAGGCAGCTGGAGCCGTGGCAGGCAGATGGCCCTATATTGAGGATACACATAGAGGCAGATATAGGGAACCCTCTGGAGATGGGTTAGGACCTGAAAATAGACACATCTAAGAGCCAAACATGAGATGAGATGATTAGAAAACAAATCCTGCCAAAGCCCAAAATATGATTCTATTAACCCTTAACTTAAATCCTACAGTAAAGTTAAAGGACAATTTCGAAAGGGATTTCAAATTCACCCTTCAATGCCAGAGTCTGTGACACAGTGTTCTTGCCAGCCCACCCGCTCTGGTCTTAAAGCTTTAGTGGCTCCTAGAGAACCTCCTTTCCAGCTGTCAGTATCTACATTTCTTTGCCTGAGGATTTTTTCCCATAGCCAAAGAAGGCTGCTTTAAGATGTGGGCAGGCCAGACGTGCCTTGAAAGTCACCTGCAGGAGCAGCCTTCAATCAATGACTGATGAGTTGGTGTAAAAATACCTCAGCTCTCTCATTTCTCTGGTAGGATAACTCTGAGGTGCATGTTCTACACCATTTCCAGAGTTTACTGTGGGATTTAGTTCTAATCATTCATAGAAGGAGCTGGCTTGAGAATGCATCTTGCTGCACACCATCACACAGTGCCAATCAGGATAAATCCACTTAGGTGAGATAATATTTTAGAATGATACTGACTATGAACTAGAGTAGAGGTCAATAAACATTTTCTATAAAGGACTACATAGTAAAATATTTTTGGCTTTGTGGCCCTACAGTTTCTGTCACAGCAACTCAACTCTACCCTTATAACACAAAGGCAGCCATGGACAATAATAAACAAATGAGCACAGCAGTGTTGCAATAAAACTTTATTTACAAAACCAGGTGGCTGGCCAGACTTGTCCCACAGCCATAGTTTGCTACTTCCTGGACTAGAATATTTGGCCCAACTGCAGAAAGAGATAAATATTACAGATTCTTTAAAAACAAACAGGACAGCATTACCAAAGAAACTTTAAGCTTGAAAAAATAGAAAAATAGTGTTTCTTTAATATAAATAACAAAAAGCAAAGAAAAACAAAAGAGAGAACTAATATATATATAAATAATATAATATAATATAATATATAGGGTGTCCCCAAAAATGTATATAAACATTTTGAATAATTATAAAGGCAGTGTTTTTTAAAGTACATTTCATTTTCAAAATTGAGCTATCAGCTGTTAAAGTGTGCATACATATTTTGGGGACACCCTGTATATAGTATATCATAATAATGTTCTCATTGTAAGCACACTCTAATCCTTTTAAGAAAGAAATAGGAATGAACAAAAAATAAATCATTTAAAAAATCAAAATGTAAAATGTTGACACTGTAGCCCATAGCCTTTTTATTTTGGAGACACAGAATCCACAGGCCTTCACTGTTAATAAAGGTTGAGCAGAAAAGGTTTTCTTAATGAGACCAAGGCTACAATAAGAACAACATGGAAGGGCGGGCTGCTAACTATCAGAGTAACTCTCAGCATTTTAGCCAAGCCTATGGGAATAAATTGCACTAAGAGATGAAATGTGACATCCTAGTTTTTACGAAGACACAAAGGCCAATGCACACACTCCCTCCACACAATTCTTTTACAGTTGGGATATGAGGACAGTCTGATATAGGCTCTTGTGTGGGGCAAGAGCAACAACTCCTGTGTATTTATATAAACTCTGATCCCTGGCTTTCAATTTAGCCAGATTCCAAAGTATAAACAGTAAGAGTCAAGCCAAGTAGAGAGACTTCCAACGGCATAGCTTGAGGCCAGGGCTGTACCAGGCCAGCAGGCCTCACTCTCGTGTGCCTAAGCCAACATGAGCCCATAAAACATGTTTGGAGGCCAAAGTGAGAGGTGCCTCCTGCCTGGTACAGTCTATCTTTGAGGCTGCCAGCCCAATCATGCCCTTCAAGTATCAGTACTGGTATGTCTGAGGCTGGCTCCAGATAAAACGATAGCCGGAGGCAGTTCTCCGCCCCACACTCAGGGACAGTGCCAAAGCTGTCCAACCCCAGCTCCACTTTGCATCCTGTTGCTCTACTCTCCACACTGCTGACCCCACTTGTCATTGTAGAGTGAGCCTTCACCATACACCAGGGACAAGCAGCTCCCCAGCTCTGAGTACCCAGGCGGAAGCCACAGTGGGGGCCTATCGACTTTTATTTTGAGAGATCTTATTTTCCCCCACGTTGGGCAGATGCTCAATAATGAGAAGCTCCTGTTCTTACTGTTCACTGGGAATGTGATTTTCCTTCCCAGACCACTCTTTGAGAATATCCTTGACTACTCCCCCTGTACAAAGCTCTAGGTGATGAGTTGGTTTGACGGGTAGTAGAGTCCCTGACAATGACATCCCCTCACAGATTGGTTTGGGCAACGGCCTCCCAGTTGACCGGGCCTCCAGCACCCTCCTCCAGCCCATCTGCCACTCCCTTGCATAGTCTCCTTACCCAGCTAGCCCTAGCCTAACAGGTGTGATCCAGATAGAAAGGTGACACAGGTTGCCTTAAGATGACCCTTGTCCTACACTGTATTCAACATGGCTTATGATGGAATTATATTCCAAACTCAGAAACAGGCTTTTTTTTTCCAAAGCCAAGATTCATGACCCATACTTCCTTGTTTCCCCTTATCACTTACCACAGGGCTGAATGCTTCATTCCATGGATTCTACCATGAAGGAGAAAAAAACAGGAGTTGAGATACAGATGAATGACATTTCAAGAGCTAGTGAAAAATCAAGTTGAAAAAAAGTTTAGACACTAACTGGGCAATAGACAATAAGACTGTATGAACAAACATGTACCCACTGACAGAAAGAAAAGTAATAACAAGCACAAGGGTTGAGCCCTTCACTCACATTATTTCTCCTTTTCTTCACAATAGGCCAATTAAGTAGGTACCAATATTATCCTCACTGCATTATTCCATTCTACAGTTGAGAAAAGTGAAGCTTACCTACCTAAAGCAATTTTCCCAAGGCCATACAATGAGAAAGGGATGTGACTGGATCACAGACACAGGTCCATCTGGGTCTAAGGCCTTAACTTTTAATCTCCACATGTTATTGCCTCCTGGTGTTTGTGAGCGAAAGAAATAAAGTGAGACAGTGACCTTCCTAACAAGAATGAGGGAAAACAAGGGCTCATTGTTTTAGGATCTGCCAATATTAGATGCATCAGTTCAGATGAGTTTATGTGCAAATAACAGAATAGCCGACTCCCAGAGGCAGAGGAAACACTGATCTTTAGCTCTCTCACATGCCCTCTTCACAGCTAGGTAGCTCCATGTTTGGTGCAACAGCTCAGACATCATCCATAACCAGGCTCTTTTTAACCTTCCAGCCATCATCTGATTCTGGTACCTATCTCTTCCTGGGTGCAAGATGGCCATCACAACACCACGCGTCACATCATTGCCGCAGGATCCCAAATAGGAAGGGAGGCAGCAGAAGGAAGCTCTGCTCAGACATCTCTGTCTTTATTGAGAAAGCATGCTTTGTTCCTGAAGCCCCCCAGCAACTTCCCCTACTGTCTCATTGGCCAGAACTGTGTCACATGGTCATCTTTAGCAGCAAGGGAAGCTGGGAAAGTGTCTAAAAAGATACCCTAGCAAATGGGGAGAGGGATGAACACACTGGGGGTTCTGTGAGCCAAGAACATGGGAGCTTAACTAAGGGATGGCCAGTGTCTGTATACGGAGATGACTCCTCTCTCAGGCAAGACTGGGCTCTGCTGCTATTTTTTTTTTTTTTTAATATTATGAGATGACAATGGCAGGACCCTGAGACAAAGATCTATAAATTCCCATGCTAACAACTCCCAGATGTTATCCAATCAGCTCCGCCCTCTGCTCAAAGGCAGGAATCTTCCACTGCCCCAGAACCAGCTCCGTTTACTCAGTTTGGGGTACAGGCAAGGTATAGAATGCCTGCCATCTGGATCTCACCCACTACCCCCAGCGTTGGTCAGACATTCTAAGAAGCAAAGGAGTTTTGGCCTCTCTTATTATGCACCTTCTGGGAAAAGATGTGACCCCAAAGCACCATCCAATAAAATTCTTTTTCCTTTATTTCTGTGAAAAAGCTAGTAAGCATGGTTTCTAAAAGTGAGAGGGAGGAACTTCCCATGGGATCTCGAATGGTTTTTCTTCCTTTATTGTATGTCATATGGGAGTATCTGATATAGGAAGTTGCTTGGGAATTTTGCTTAAAACAACAGTTGCAGCCTGTTAACCCCATCTGCTTCCCATAAGCGGGAGAAGCCATTGCATGACAGTGTCGAGGGGCCTCTGGATTTTCTCAAGGCTTTCCCATAGGGAAGATGCTTAAAACAAAATCCTCCGACCTCTTGGTTCTAATCCTCCCCCTCTTAGTCCGGTCAGTAACCACAGAAGGTGACAGAATCTGGCTGATACCCGGGAGAGCTGAGCTGGAAGAGTGACAAATTCTAAATTTCAAGCTGGGCTGGAGGAGGCCTGCAAAAAGCACCAAGTCAAGTTCCTGAATGATAAGCTTACTATTAGCAACCCAGATGATACTGCTCTTTCTAGAGCGAATCCTAGACTCTGAGGGCCGCTTTCCAAATTAATAAAAACAACAACAACAACACACCTATAAACATTTATTGAACATCTATGATATACCAAGGACATTTCTAGGTCCTTGTCCCGAGTGTTTCCTGAGGTCTTAGCTTGGATGACCTTGATGAGTCACCCATGAACCATAAAATTGCAAAATATCATCTTCACTGCATTATGTCAGCACAGACTCAGACAGAGTTGGATATGTGCACTCCGGTTTCTGGGAAGGCAAAGATATTTCAAAAACAATTCCAGGAAAGCCAACGAGTATGTCTTTTGATACATTTTCCAAGTGGGACACAAAATAGGCCTAAATTTGTCAACAATTATTTTTCTAAAATTGCTATGGGAACATGCCCAGCATTCAGTGACCCTTAAAATACATATTTGTGAAACAATAACCCACCTATTTCCCGATAATTCCTAGCCTTGACTCCTCCCTTGAACTTCAGGTTCATTCATTCAAGCACCTTCAATCTACAATCAGAGCCCAAGGGATCTGGCTAGAATGCTCCCCTTCCAGAATCCCTTCCATGCTCCCCATCACCTTCAGAATGATACCCCGGCTCCCGGACACAGACTGCCTACAAGGTTCGTCCTGGCTTGGCCTTCACCCTCTGGATTCACTTGTTGCCACTCATTGCACATCTCTAAATACCTAGTCCCTAAAACAACACTCTTTTTATGGTCTCTGCTTTTGCCACGTTCTCGCTGCCCAGAATGCCTTTTTCTCCTTCCACTATCACACTGGACTTAGTTCATGTGTCATCTCTGCAGAGTCTTCCCCGAACGCCCAGGTTGGCTTAAGTGTCCCTCTTCTGGTGTCTGTGTATGTAGGTCCGCTGCGCATGGACCACTCTGGATGAAAATGATCACACACGCGTCTCCTCCACTAGACTAAACAAATTCTACACATCTTCCCACCCAGAGTCCCCAGCACAGTATTGACACTTCCAGCCGTGGGCAAACTACGACCCGCAGGCCGGATCCAGCCCGTTTGAAATGAATAAAACTAACAAAAAAAAAGACCGTACCCTTTTATGTAACGATGTTTACTTTGAATTTATATTAGTTCACACAAACACTCCATCCATGCTTTTGTTCCGGCCCTCCGGTCCAGTTTAAGAACCCATTGTGGCCCTCCAGTCAAAAAGTTTGCCCACCCCTGCGTTAGACACATAAAACATGCTTCTTGAACTTGAACTAAAGTGACAACATTTTTTTGGCCTGAAGTCAAGTAGAATGAAAGCAAGAAAAGTTACAGACTTTAAATTCAGACACGCCACAGCTCTTATTTGAGGTCAAATTTAGGAGGACCTGGTCACTTTTTCTTCTTCCAGAGTTTTTAGACTAGGGAAGGAGCATTCTCAATAAGTTAAAAATCATGTTTTAAAAGAATGTACAAGTCTAGTTCATTGAGATCAAAAGAAACTTTTGCAAAAGCAGAAGCATATATTTAAAAAATGATGCATAGACCCAAATCGGGTAAGTCAGAGTGAGTTGCCTAGAAATGGACGCTGAACAATTCATTACATATGGAGACTAAGGGGAAAATGCTCCCAGTCCCTGGAGCGAGAGCCATGGAAGGTAGCAGTGCGGAGGGCAGGGAGTAAGCCCCACCGCCCACACAGAAGGCTCCGCATTCTACCCGGAGCTTGTGGGTTTCAAAGCAAACCAGGAGGTGGGGCCACGGTGAGGACATTGGTTACAATCTGGGAGGAATGGATTCAATGAGACGTGTGGTCTTTATACTGCAGCCGCAGTGAATCTAGTCCCCAAAGTGAACGACACTTACATTTTGAGCCACCTGCGTGCTCAGGACTGGGGAATGCAGAGCTCCCTTCCCTGCACTGGGTCTGAGCCTGGGGCTCGGACAGTGCCAAGGCATCAGGGGCCGTGTGGGCACCCTACTCAGGTGCCTACAAAACATGTTCCAGCCCTAGCTGGTTTGGCTCAGTGGATAAAGCATTGGCCTGTGGACTAAAGGGTCCCGGATTCGATTCCGGTCAGGGGGACATGCAGGGGTAGGGGGCGTGCAGGAGGCAGCCGATCAATGATTCTTTCTCATCGATGTTTTTATCTCTGTCTCTCCCTCTTCCTTCCTCTTTGAAATCAATACATATATATATGAACATGTTCCAGATCTGTTTGCCTGGGGAGCAGCAGGCTGGGGCAATTTCCCACCAGCTCTCCTCCCTCACTGGTTGAGAGCTACTCCTGGGGGCATTCACTCTCTCCAGCCCATCCTGCAGGCTGCATTTGCAAGAGTGACCTTGTCTGATGTTGGTGTCTGTGAAACTGTGGGTTAAGTAGGGAGGGACTCACAGCTGAGGTGCGGGCGCCAAGCCTAATGGTGCCTTTTTTTCCCTCAAGCTTCCCATAATGCAGGCTCCGTGCCCTCATGAGTGACAGGTGCCCTTGTTAGTCCAGCTGCATAGCTCTAAGCAACATTCAGCTCATGAGTGCAAGGGGCAGAACAGGCACAGACCGATAGGGCTCTTCTGTCTCTCAGATGCTCCTTCTCAGTGTGTCTGGAGACATTTAAGTAGATTTTCTCTACCTCCTTAGTCACTCAGGTGAAGTAGAAATTCTCTTGGTTGGACCTTGGAGGGATGCCAGGAGCAAGGAAACTGACAGGGCTCCCCGATCCATTTCCTGTCATTTGTTTGAGGGTGACAGAGCATGGTGGCGACAGCTCAGATAACCTTCCTTAAACCACACGGAGCCTGGCTGTCAGGGCGGAGACTGACAGGCACTGCACATATTGCAGACCCTGCTGCTGGCTGCACACGTCACAGCAGAGCTTTTCTTTCTTTCTTTTTTAAAATATATTTTTATTGATTTCAGGGAGGAAGGGAGAGGGAGAGAGAGAATCATTGATTGGCTGCCTCCTGCACACCCCACCCTGGGGATTGAGCCTGCAGCAGAGAGGGGAAATTGACATTAAAGTTCTGTCAAAAAAGAGGTGGTTTGGGGGAATAACGTTGGTGGGTTTTCAGAAGAGACAATAGGGTAAAATAATACTTTCTTTGAGGAGGAGGCATCTACCTCCCACTTTCCTCTCCTGCACATGTCAACTCTCCGCTTTAAGTAGGCTGCCCCCTTGGGAAAGAGAACACAGAAGCCCAGAGAGGTTTTGGCAGCCTATGCCCTTCTCCAAGCTGTCTTGTGCTGGGGCTGCCAACAGTCTGCCTAGTGGTGCTCTGGCTCCCCCTACAGGCCCGGCGCTGTCAGTTCACAATCATTCTAGAGAGGGGTCCTTTCTCCTTCACCTCCCTGGCATCTCTGGGTTGCCCCTGCAGGCAGGCCAGGCAAAACAACCTCATCGGAGAACAGGAGTAGTCATTTGCCTGCTCAAAGGCACATCAGAAAGGAGCTGAGAGAGACCTTCAGAATGATTTCTTCAAACCCTCCTGCTTTACAGATGAGAGACCAAAGCCTGGAGAGTGACGAGTTCCATCCTTGGCCTCTTTGCCGGGGGCCCTGACCCACTGAGCCCACAGATGGTGCAGGAGCACGTGTGCAAGGCACAAATCCCAGAGCCATCTGGCCAAGGTCAGGTGCTCCTTCTGCCTTGTTATGTCCACGCAGTAATTCCTTAAAATTAATGATGAATAAGGGGTATGTTTGGCAAAGAGAACCAAGTTGCCAGTCATTAAATTGCCAACACATACATTTGGGTCACTTATTGATTTTTAAAAAATCCATCCTGTTCTTATAGATTCTCTGTAATATAATATTATATTTTAAAATCCTCCCTTCCACAGGGATCAGGCCCAGCTGGCATAAACAAAATATTCTTGGACCATATTTGTTGATTGAATGACACTGCTTATCCATCTTTGGGGTGAGTAGCTATTAATAATCTTTATAATTTTCCAAGCAGAAAGTCCTCCTTCACATCTAACTTTCTGCCCCCCCTCCCCCAACACAGCATGGTGTAGAGAGTGCTGAGTCAAGCAGATGGGCAAATCCCGAGTAGGCCACATTTTGCTAGGAACACATAAGCTATATTTGGCAGACTTGTTCAAGGTCCAAAGTTCAAAGTTCCAGATATGGCCATGCAGACCACATCAGACCTGGAGTGAGAGCTGCTCACCTGATTTGAAATAGACTAGCTACACACTGTTGGATGCCACTGAAATGTATTAGAGAACTGCCATAAAAACACTCAAAATGAATCATCACAAAGTTCCAGCAACCTGGAAACAGACACACAGGAAGGTGGGTAGTCAAAGTTCCTATGGGCATCACATCTCACTTTTAATGACACCGTATGAGCATCTGGCCCCATTTCTCTCTATAATTAGAGCTAATAAATATCTTCAAGTGGGTATTTTGACAGACTTTGGAAATATGAACCTATTATTACTAGAGTTGTGTGGTTCTGAATTTGAATGTGAAAAACATAGCCGAAGCCTTACTCATCTCAAAAAGCAAATGTAGCAAAAATTAATCCCATGGGGCTAATGTCTGATGCTTGGCCAGCAAGATGAGGGTGGCTGACTTGTTTTAATGTTTCAACTGCCCCCATTTTTATCATTTGCGAAGGTTTTCTGTTATTCAAACACTGCCACACAAGGGGGAAAAGGGGATTTGGAATCACAAGTGTTAGGTTGAGATTCCAAGTGTGCCATTTAATGACTGGGGTGGTAAGATTACTTTTCAGAAACATTCACCCCTTTCCTCCCTCCACTTCCATGCGCCCTTAACTTTGGGTTGGGCCACGTGACTGTTTTGGCCAATGGAGTGATGCAAGCAAAGACTTGACATGCACAGTGGGAATTGGTTCTTGCACCTCTGTTCTGGCTAGTCCCCTGGTCTGAGGACTGCAATTAAGAGCCACCCAGCCAAACCCACAGACACATAAGAGCATTTTTAAATAACTACTGTTTTTAAATTTCCGGCTAGTTAGTAATGCAACACTACCTGGTTGACACATTGGCAGAGACTGGGTTTCAGTTAACCCGGGGATAAGAATATCAGCATTAGTGTGATCTAAATGCTGTCATGCTATTATCACTTTCTGTGTTTTAGAACAAATAGAGAGTCCCATCCATGCTTTGGTGACAATTTAGCTAAGCTCGGACTACAGAACATTTTCCAGAATCCCTTTCCCTGAGTGGTTTTGGGGTAGCTTTGACCACCAGAGAAATTTTGTGCAATTCAGAAGACAGAAGCAAAGCCGCGGGTATTTTTATGCTCTGAAGG